CCACCATGATCAAGTTAGCTTCATCTCAGAGATTTGGGGTTAGTTCAACATATGTAAATCCATAAATGTAATCTACCAAATAGACTTAAGTACATAAATCACATGACTATGTATTTTATGCATCTCATTAGATGTATAAAAGGCCTTTGATAAAACCCAACATCCCTTCATGATAGAAGTCATGGAGAAAGTAGGAATATGGGGACATATCTCAACATAATAAAGCCAAACAATACACAACAAGCTGACAGCCAACATCATGATAAATGGAGAAAATCTCAAAGCATTTCTATTAAAATAAGGCACAAGACAAGGATGTCCACTCTCTCCATCCCTGTTCAATATAGTGTTTGAAGTTTTAGCAAGAGCAATAAGACAAGTGAAGGAGATAAAGGGATAAAAATAGGAAGGGAAGAAGTAAAAGAATCATTGTTTGCAGATGATGTGATTCTATAACATAAATGATCCTAAAGACTATCAGAAATCTCCTAGAGCTGATAAAACGCATTCAGCAAAGTAGGATATAATAATTAACACGCAAAAATAGTAGTCTTCCTATATACCAGCATCAAATATTGAGAACAAAATCAGGGAAATCCTCCCATTCATGATAACCTAAAAAAAATTAAATATCTTGAAGTAAAAATAACCAAGAAACTGAAAGACTTGTATAACAAAAACTAAGACATTGAAGAAGGAAATTTAAAGAAAATATTGGAAGATAGAAAGATCTGCCTTGCTTATGGATCAGTATGATTAATACTATGAAAATGGCCATCCTACCAAAAGAAACCTAGAGATTCAATGAAATATCCATCAAAATACCAACAAAATTCTTCACAGAAATTGAAAAATAATCTCGAATTTTGTATGGAAACACAAAGATCCCAGGATAGCCAGAACGATCCTGAGTAACAAAAGAAAAGTTGCTGGTATTACAGTACACCCCTGTTTTCAAATTATGCTGCAGAGCTATAGAGGCCAAAATATTGGAAGAAAGTAGGAATATGGGGACATATCTCACATTGGAGACAAGACAGCATATTTAACAAATGGTGCTGGTCAAACTGGACAGCTACATATAGAAGAATGAAACTAGATCCCTATCTCTCACCATACACAAAACTCAGCTCCAAATGGATCAAGGACCTTAACATAAGACCTGAAACCCTGAACCTGACAGAGGAAAAAGTAGGGAATACCCTGGAACTTATAGGCACAGGGAAGGACTTTCTGAACAAGCCCTTGATAACACAGGCATCAAAACCAACAATTGACAAACAGGACAACATAAAACAAAAAAGCTTCAGTAGAGCAAAAACTACCATCATTTGAGAGAAGAGACAACTTACAGAATGGGAAAATATTTAGCTGCTATGATTCTGACAAAGGGTTAATATCTAGAATATACAAAGAAGTAAAAAAAAAAAAAGCTATCAAACCCCCAAACAACCCAATTAAAAATTGAGGCAAGGTGCAGAGAACAAGAGGTCACGAAATACTTCTCCCTGAGCAGGACCTTTGAAACCTCTGCCTCCCAAGGCTCAAGGATCATTTTGGAAAAAGAGATAGGAAGATTGTAAGAGCCTGAGGGGGTGGATGACCACAGGAAAATAGAGTCTTCTAGACAGCCGCTCAGTTACTCATATGAGCTCACAGTAATGGTGACAACATCCACAAGTCCTATGGAAGCTCAAATCAGACAAAATTCCAGTCCAACCTAGGAGACTTTTGGAAATGGATGGGTACTGGGAGGTGGAAAGGTAGTGTCTTGCAGGGTTGGGATTCTTGGTGGGCCCAGTGGATGGATCCACACTTACAGGACATTGCGGGACATGGTTCGTACTCTATAGACCTTGTTATACATGTAAGAATATTCATTGGGTGGAGGGTGGTGGGGGGAGGTACAAAGAGGGGAGTGGTTCTAAATGCCATCAAACTATATTGAAATGACAAAAAATCAATAAAAAATGCAAAAGTTTGTGACAAGAAACTCAACGGAGTATTTTCAAAAGATGAAATGCTTTTAAAATGAGAGAAATAAGCCGGGTGTGGTGGCACACACCTTTAATCCCAGCACTCAGGAGGCAGAGGCAGGCAGATCTCTGCAAGTTCAAGGCCAGCCTGGTCTCCATAGTGAGTTCCAGGACAGCTGGGGCTGAGATCTTGTCAAAAAAAAAAAAAAAAAAAAAAAAAAAAAAAAAAAAAAAGAGAGAGAGAGAAATACTTTTAAAATGTTCAACATCTTTAGCCTTTAGAGAAGTGTAAATTAAAACTACTCAGATTTTATCTTTGAATCAGAATGACTCAGATCCCCAAACAAATGACAAATGCTGGTGAGGATGTGGGGAAAGGGGAATGCTTATCGGCTGCTGGTGGGAGTAGAAATTGGTGCAGCCACTGTGGAAATCTTCAAAATCTAGAAATAGATCTTCCATATGATCCAGCTGTATCACTCTTGGGAATATACCCAAAGGACTCATTATCTAATGCTAGAGAAATATCTGCTCATCCATAGTCATTACTGTTCTACTCACAATAGCCAGGAAATGGAAACAACCTAGATGTCCATCAACTGATGAGTGGACAATGAAAATATTATAAATTTTCCCGATGGAATATTATGCAGCTATTTAGAAAAACAAAATTATGAAATTTAAAGTAAATGGTGTGCAGCAGCAATGGTCTGGTACAGGGTGTCAGAGCGTAAGCAGGGAGACATAGTGACTGTGAAGAGGCTTGGTTTGACTGTGCTAGAGCCCAAAGAGTGACAAGAGTATCAGCATGTTGGTTACAAAGTACCTGGATTGGGGAGGGAGTCCACAAGCAGCAACCTGGTGTGGGTGTCAGATCCTGAGAGGTGAGGAGGGCACCTATGTGGTAGAGTGGTCAGGTGCAGAGAATCTGAGTTAAAGCAGAGTGAGGAAGGCATCTGTACACGAGGCCACTGTTTGTGAAGAGTCAAAGCCCCAAATGGGTGAGGAGAGGGTCCTCATGCAGGACAGTCTGGTGAGTGACTTCAGTCACTGGGAGAGAAGAGGAACTGATGCATAGTGTTAGCTCCAAGGGGGGTTGGGATTCAGAGGTTCAGCAGGGTGAGCAGAGGGTAGAGCAGGCCTGGGTTTCAGAAACCAGGTAGGCTAAAGTGTGTCTGTATGGTATAGAGCACAGTATGGAAACTCAGTGGCTATCAAGGTAAGGAGGGGAAACCTTACGTCGGAGAGGATAACCTGGCATGGGATGTCAGAGCCCAAGCAGGACCCAGGAGTGTGTATGCAGAAGGCAGAGCTTGTATAGGTTCCAGAGACTGATCAGGGCAAGAGTACTTTACCTGGTGGGGTAGCCGTGTGTGGGCACTCAGTACCTTTCAGGGTGAGGAGGGCTTCTGCCTATGCAGGTGACCTTGGTGGAGTGATAGAGTCTCAGCAAGGATAAGTGGATCCTCAGGTATCAGCACCAGGAATCAGAGCACAAGTTGTGCAAAGGGAGCTTTCTTGTAGAGGATGACTCAGCCAGGTATTAGAACTTCAGCAAGGTGGCTGGTGCTTGAGGGACCTCCTAACTAGAAGGATGAGGGCATCAGTGCTGGGGACATAGGCTCTATCTGAGAGTTAGAGCCCATCCAGGAGAAACAGGCATCTTAGTGGGTATCCTAGTTTGGTTTTCTATTGCTGTGATAAAACACTCTGATCAAAACCAACTTGGGGAGGAAAGGGTTTATTTGGCTTACACATCCCAATTAGAGGAACACCAGGGTAGGACTTGAGAGGTGGAACCTGGAGGCAGGGACTGAAGCACACACCAAGGACGGACACTGCTTGCTGGTTTGCTCCTCTGCTCTGTGCTCAGCCTGCTTTCTTATACAACACAGGACTACCTGCCTAGGGATGGCACCACCCACAGTGAGCTGGGCCCTCTAGATCACTCAACAATCAAGAAAATGTCTTGGGAAAATGGCCACAGGGCAATCTGATGGAGGAAATGCCTCAATTGAGGTTCTCTCTTCCCAGGAATGTCAAGTTGACAACGGGCAGCCATCCAGTACAGTGGGGGGATAGATGACACAAAGGTGGGAGACTGGTGACATCTGGGATATTATTCAAGCAAGAGATTGAGGTATAGTTAATGAACAATGATTTCTCACTCACAGAAAGTTGAAAACCCAGAAATCTGGAAAACAATGAAACCTGAGGTATATAACAATTGGGGTACTAGTGTGAACCTATGGCTTTCAGTATATTTGGATACAGGAATAAAATGAAAACTAGAAATGCAAAGTAAGTGTGTGTGTGTGTGTGTGTGTGTGTGTGTGTGTGTGTGTGTGCATGCTGCATGTTTGTTATGTGAAGGAAAATGAAAGTAGATGAAGGAGATTCAAAGAAGAGAAATCATTTAGGGAGAGAGGTGAAGATGGAGAAAGTGGCCCAAACTGAGTGGAGACTCCTGGTGTGATTATCATGAACTGTGAGGCGAGCAGTGCACGCAGAGGAGCGGCTGCAGAAGGAGTATGATGCGAGCTTTGCCTTTGTCACACTGGAGGCAGCTGACTCCAAAGTAGGGAGCCCACATCTTAGTGTGGAGACAATGCTTCTCAGAATGTGGTGCCGAGAACTTGCCCGTCCAGCCAAAATAATGGGGGCTGCAATGTACACGAGTATTTGCTTATTTTGGTTGATTTATCAGTAATCATGCTGCATTTGGAAGTGTGATGTTTCGTGTGGTCCCCCCCCGCCCCCGGCCCCCAGAGTACAGAGTACAGTTTTCAGAACAGACTTCTCTAATGGCCTGGTTCCCCTTTGCTTTTCCTTCCCATTTCTTTCCATCCCCTTTTGAGTTCCTATTCTATAGTATTTGCATATCCACACTGACTAGGTTTGGAATTTATAATTTCCATATTGTTGATTTCAGAGATTGCATCTCTGCATGTAGCCAGAGTGGTTTCATATTGCGGTTTTCAATTTGCATGTGATAGCTCTCAGAGTCAATTGCCTCTGCTCTTACGTATTTGCGTGATAAGACAACTTATCACCATGTTCGGATCTCATACCTCACGTGTTTTAAGAAGGAGATGATATGCATTTTCTGAAGAAAGCAGGCGTTTTCTTGATATGGCTTCAGAAATCACTTATGCTGAAGTGAGGTTCCAAAATGAATCTAAATCTTCAAGCACCTACTCAGACTCTCGTGCAGGTAAAAAAAAAAAAAAAAATTCCCAGTGTTTGGACTTAATGTAGGCAGGAGGAAAGGAGGGAGGGCTTCCTAACCGTGGGTGACATCTGCTGTTGTTTCTCTGAGCGATCAGGTCTGTGGACTACTGGAGTGGCATCAGATTGTTGTTTGTAGCTAGACTGTAAGGGGCTGTGGAATTATACAGTGGGAAAGAAAACATTTCATGATACTGTTTTTACTGTTATCATTTACAGAAAATAGCCCTTCCCTCTTGTTACATATCTTTTTACATATAAATAAGCAAATGCAAATATATTTTTCCTAGAAATAAAATCATGCTGGTTAATATTGATTTTTTTTCCTCTCTGCTTTGACAGTATATTGTAACTTCAAGAAAATGACTTCTGTGTTTGGAGGTTTTATCTTGAAGGAAGTTTTGTTGTTTTTTTTTTCTATAGTATAAATGAAACTAGAGCCTCTCACATGATAGGTAATTCCCCTATGCTGAGCTATATCTTCATCCAAGAAATTGTTCCCTGCTATGAGATTGTGACTAAAATGACTTTATATTAAAAATGTGAAATACGATTAGAAATATTTATTTCTTGTTGCATATATTTTGCTAAAGTAATGTTTAGACAGTCTGGAAACTATTTAAATATTTAATACTATGCAACCATTATGCAGAGCATTAAAGAAGAAAATGTGGTAATATAAAATCATATTTACAATACAATATAAGAAGTTATAAGTCAGACAGCTTTATTTATGTTGTACCACCATGCGGGAAAGTGCATTATATGTCTATACACTTTAAAATTTGCTGAAAGAGTCAGGTATGGTGGTACATGCCTATAATCCCAGTACTTTAGAGGCAGAGGCAGGAGGGTTACTAAGAGTTTGAGGCTAGCCTTGTCTTCATAATGAGTTCCAGATAAGCCAGGGATACATAGCTAGACCCTGTTTCATCATTCTCCCCTCCAATAAAAAAACTTACTGACAGGATATAACCAAAGTATTATATATATTTAAATAAAATTTTAGTATGTCAAAATATTACTATCACTTTTTCAATGGTGTATATCTGTGCTTTTATGTATTTTGTAATATTTTTACAATGAACATTATTTTTCTCCTCCTCCCCCGCTCCCCTCCTCCTCCTCCTACCCCGCTCTCCTCCTCCTCCTCCTCCTCTTCTTCTTCTCCTTCTTCTTCTCCTTCTTCTTCTTAGCCTTTTTGAGACAGGGTCTCCCTGTAGCCCCAGTTGGCCTAGAACTCACTATGTAGACCAGGCTGGTCTTGGATTCACAAAGATCTGCTTGCCTTTGCCTCCTGAGTGCTGGGATTAAAGACATGCGCCACCATGCCTGGCTTGTTTTTCATATTATTTTAAATGTTCATACTATCAGTAATTGAGTGCCATGGAGGAAAGGGGAGAAGAAGAAGGGAAAAAGGGAGAAAGAAGAATTTATTGCTCATGAAATGAATGTGGTTTTTCTTTCAGCTTCCAAAGTGAAAAGCACCCCTCATTCAAATAACCCTGGTTTTCTCGGGCTGCTTTTTGTATCATTGCTGATACTTTTCCTGCTGTTGGCAATCGTATTCTTTGTTGCATTTATCAGTAAGTATGCCAAATGGAGTATGGCGATGCCTGCTTTAGATGAAGAGGGGTGTCCCATAGGAATTGACAGCTAACGAAATATGAAGAAGAAATATTCTCCAGAGAGAAATAATACAAAGGATCCTGTTGTGACTTCTCTGACCTTGGATTTCGTTAACATGGAAACTAAACAATGGAATCCATTCTCAGAGAAGTTGAAGCATGTAGATGAGTGTATGTGTGGGGTTGTGGAGTGAAATATGTGTATGGCACGCTATCTTTAGCAGACTGAGAGGGCAAGTCTACATTTCCTCAGCAACATTTGCAAGTCCAGCTGTGTTTATGGGCACAGTACTTACATTTAAGTAGTGTTTATGTGTACGGTGCCTACATTTTATTAGTATTTATGTTTATAGCACTTATATTTTTCCAGTTTTTGTGTGCAAAATGCTTACATTTGGAGGTGAGTACGTGGACAAGAAGAATATAGGAAGAAACTATCTAGGAAGTGTTCATCAGTGAGTTCTCAATTATTTCTGTCTTGCCCAGGACTGTGTGAGATCTAAAAGCTAACTGAACAAATAAGTAGATTTCTGTTCATTCTAGACTTGAGAATTATGCATGCAAACTATTGTATTTGGGATATTTACTTATTAATTTGACCATTTAATATCTAGTCATTTGATCATTCAATATCTAGTAATGATCATTTACTGTATATCAGACACAGTTCAGAAAGAACTAGGCCTTTATTATCAAAAATGTAAAGAATAGTCAGTGAATCAGTGCCAGCCAGGCACAGGGGCACACTCCTATACATGGCAGCTTTCAGACTTCCAAGACTGATGTTGGCAGTGAACCAGGCCTGTTAAAAATCTCAACTTGACAGTAACTCAGAGTTTCCCTTACACATTTTATTCTCCAAAAGAAGTCTAGGAGGCAGCCCACATAGATGACCCCCCTTAGCTCTTTTTACTGGAGAAGTTGCAAAGCCATGTTGCAATGGGGTGAAGGTACAGAAAAGGAAAACTGTGGTCATTTTTTGCAACATGTCATAGCCATTGTAGCATTTTAAACAGAGAATTGATATAGTCAAATTTAGCTCATAGACTGTGCTTTTTCAGGAATTTGAAAGTGGAATCATTGGGACAAAGAGAGAAATTGGAAGGTTAATTCATACCCCAATAAAGAGATGAGTGTGTGAAGAACACGAGGGGAGCAGTTTTAATGATGGATGACAGAAGACAAAGGGATAGGCTCGATGAATACTGAAATCTGGGGACTAAGGGACCCAGAGAAGCAATATTCTGACTCTAATATTCTGACTTGGTAGAATCAGCAGACTTGAAGGTATTTAAAGAGGTAGACAATACAGGTATGAGTTGTAGGTTTAGGTCTGAAGATGTTAATTTGAGTTTGGGGCATGCTGAGTTGAACCTTAGATGTTCTTATTGAGTGAGAGACATACTTGTCTGGATTTCCCGGGGGCAGTCCAAGGTTTTCAGTTCCTTCTCATGCAGGCATCAGGCTAGACCATGGGGAGACAAGACATCTCCTAAGAAGATTTAGCATGAGAAGGAAGGATAGCGACAGGACACTGCGGAATGTTAGTTTTAGAAGTAGATGGAGGAAGAGGAGATTATGAAAAACACAGTAAGAAACCACAGCAAGAAGGTGGGGAGAACCCAGGAAGCGCAGAGCCCCAGGAGCTAAGGAGGAAGAGAACCGGGGTCAGGCCCAGCAGCACGAGGACTAATGAGTGACCCTGGGATATTACTGATGGTCCATTTCAAAAATGGTATTAGTGAAATGGTAGAAGCAAAAGCCAGGATGTGGTATGTCAAGGAGGAGAGTGAGAAAATTCAGTTTCTAGAGGGAGAGATGAGTCTGTTTTAAACTGGGAGAGACTTGAGAGTGTTGGTGCACCCAGTAGTAAGAGCCAGTTGAGATGAAGAGAGTTTAAGAAGAAAACAATGTCCTATAGATAAATGTTGGGTTCTTCTAAATTTTGTGTTCTAAAGTAACCCACAACTACCCAAAATGAGCTAATTCTTCTCCCAAAGTCTAAGACTGCTTTTACATTCTTAAATACGGATATATGTGCAGATTCTGCTCTTTCCCCCACAATTTGGTCTTTTCATGTTGAAGGATATGGATCAGTCCCTTTAAATTCATTATAATTGGCCTGAAATGCCCTTAATCACTGGTCTTCCTACCAGTCCTGGCAACATCTATGGTTTCAAAATAGGAGGTTGAAGATTTCATTGGTAATGAGGTGATGGTAACCTTATAGTGTCAGGCTCTGTCTACTTAGGTATTTAGGATTTTGTAGATCTTGTTTCTGCAAAGAAAGCAAGAAAGTAAGGGTAAACTCCTAATTTTAATAGTAAATAGAATAGTAAGGGTAAACTCCTAATTTTATCAGGAACATGAATGGTTTTTGTTCTATTTTCCAGTTTTTTTCCAAAAGTATTCTCAACTTCTTGAAGGAAAAAACAGTATAAAAGAAATGAATCACACAGAATTGAACTGCATAAAAAACCACTTGCCTGGAGAAGGTAAACTTTAATGTGCCTAGAATTTAGTGTTGACTGTAGAGTGTAAGAATCCTACATAAATAAATATTTGTAGTAAGATTCCCAGGTGGCCTGTACTGAGAAGTGGAGTTGCATGATCATTTCAAGCTCCACATTTATACAGGACCTAAGTATCTTGTATGTATGCCTTAATTTGTCTTGATGACTGTAAAGGTTCTATTGTTATTAGATTTCTCTGCCCTCTGCTTCTTTCTGAACTTTCTATGCATACTTGCCATTTCTCATCTCAGTTAAAACTACTTGATGAAAATGATTAAGACTTGCATTATGAATGTGAATTAAGTAGAATATTTTTTTGGTCTTTTTGAGACAGGCTTTTCCTGTAGCCCCAGCTGGCCCGGAACTCACTATGTAAACCAGGCTGGCCTCATTCTTACAGAGATCTGCCTGCCTCTGACTGCTGAGTACTGGGATTAAAGGTGTGTACCCCACACCTAACTTAAATTTTTTAGAACATTTTTATATTTATAGAACATTTTAATTTACATTTATTTTATGTGTATGAATGTTTTACGTGCATGTATGCAAATGTACCACATGCGTGCAATGCCTACGGAGGTCAGAAAGAGGGCATCAGATCACCCTGGAACTGTAGTTATAGAATGGTTATAAATTGCTGTGTGAGTACAAAGGAACTGAACCTAGGTCTTCCGCATGAGTTTAAGTGATACTATAAAGATACCATTTTAACCCCATCATGCACATGCACTGTTCTCTATATAAACATCATACATAAGCAAGGATGCCTGTACAACTAATAAATGAATCCTGACATATTACCAATAACTGAAGGTCATGATTATTTGGTTTCTGCTGATGCTCTTTTATTTCACCAGAATCCCAGCCAGGGCACCAAGTTGCATTTAGTGTTCACACCGCTCTAGTCTCCTCTTGGTTATTATGGTTTTTCAGATGACCCTTGTTTTGGGTGATTCTGCCTACCAGTTTTGAGGACTACTGTTCTGGTGTATTATAGAATATTCCTCTATTAAAATTCAATGTGTTCCTAATGATTACATTTGGGCAATTATTTTTCTGGGAGAAAGATGACAGTTGTGAAATGCTAATTTTATCACATCATACGTAGGGTCTATAGTATCAAAATGATTATTGACTTTTGATGTTGACTCTTATGATCTACTTAAGGTAGGACATTTTAAAGATTATCTTTTTTTAAAACCCTTGTCCACAGTATATATTTTGGGGGAGGTTAGTGCTATATATAGCCCACACTTACAGACTGTGGAATTTTGTTCCCTGTCTGCTAGGGTTAGAGCATTGTGTTAGGATTCTCAGAGAAAACAATATATCTGTCCATATCGACACATGTTCTTTATAATACAACACAACCCTTTTTGTGAGCTGAGTTCTGTTTACGGCTACCACCCCAAACGTCATTTCTCAGTTCTTCTCCTTGATGAGTGTTACAGTCATTTACATTTCTATTTTTCCCACATTTTTGATGCCTTCATGTCTCTTTGACATTCTTGGTATCCATATAACACTTATGGATATATATGTGCGAGAGTATATATATATATATATACAGATATATATACATATATATATATATATCTGTAACAATGTGTTTCTCAAATCTCCCTTTCATTGGTATCAATTTTACGTAGTTTGACCCTTTCTTATTTGTTATAGATTTAGTCACCATGTGAGACTCTATTTCTTCTATTTTATCTTCGTTATTCAGTTCAATTTCTATAGTTTTGTTTCTCCAATTGACTGATTTCTCTGTCACTTCCATTCAGGTGTTGAACCTGATCATTGTGTTTACTTCTTCTTTTTTTTTTGCATTTATTTATTTTTACTTTATGTGTGCAAGTGTTTTACCTGCCTGTATGAAAGTGCACTTGTTTCATGCAGTGCTCATGGAGGCTAGAAGAGGGCATTGGAATCCCTGGAGCTGGAGCTACAGATGATTGTTAGCTGTCATGTGAGTGCTGGGATTTGAACCTAGGCCCTCTGCAAGAGCAGCCAGTGCTCTTAACTGTTGAACCACCTCTCCAGCCCCAAGCTCAATCATTGCATTTTTAAAAGATTGTTTTATTTTTCAATTACAAAATTGAAAAACACATTTTACAGGCATAAAGAGGTATATTCACACACATTTGGTTATTATTTGCATTTTTTCTTTCTTGCAGCATTCTATTTTATATTTGTTTCCAGAATCTTTGTAATTTTTTTGTGAAGTATTTTTATATGTATTTTTTATTTTTGTTTTATGTGTATGAGTGTATTGCCTGCATGTATGTGAGTGCACCCATGTCATGCAATGCCACGGAGGTCAGAGAGGGCGTCGGATTCACCTAGAACTGGAATTAAGGATTGTTTGTAGCTGCCATGTGGGTGCTGGGACTCGAACCCAGGTCCTTTGCAAGAGCAGCCAGTGCTCTTAACCGCTGAGCCATCTCTCTAGCCCTTCAGATAACTAACATTTTTGGTGTCTTGGTTATTGGCATATATTGTTTACATATGTATATATCAAATACGAGAACTTTCTGGTTCTTGGTATAATGAGTTTTATTTGAAGCTCTAGACATCTTGCATTATGTCCTAAGAGCCTGGATGTCATTTACACATAATTTTTCTGCCTTTTCTTGAGAGTAGGTCAGCAGGAGAAAAGGGCCCTGGCATTAGTGGCTGATGGAGATAGACCTGGATTGCTTGACATCTGAGGGATGGGGCTCCTTATGGCATCTGGGTGAAGATGGGAGTCCCAGCTTCCATGTGGTCTCCCTTGCTCTTTGGTTGTAAAAACACATGCAATTCTCAAAGTGATTTAATTATATTTCATTCTATGTATTTATTCCCAATGAAGACAAAGTTTGGAGCTGCTGCCCAGAGGAGTGGAAGCCATTTAGCTCTGATTGCTACTTCATTTCAACTGACTCAAACTCTTGGCATGAGAGTAAAGACAAGTGCTCCAAAATGGGGGCTCACCTGCTGGTGATCCGCAGCAAGGAAGAGCAGGTGGGTGCTTTCTGAGAGATAAAGGGTTCCCAAAGCCTGCCTGTTGTACAATCATCTTTTTCACTAAGAAGAAGGTTTTATGGATTGGAGAACTGGTGCTGTGGCAGAGGTTTTCCCCAAGATAGCCAGGAAAGGCTGCCTGAGCCTTTACAGTCTACACCTCGTTCCTATTTCAGTAAAACTAAAGAACCCCAAGGAGCTGTGGCATCAGAAATGTAACACATGAAGGTTGAGAGAAGGATGAAAATGCTTCTGTTTGAAATACTAACTGCTTAACAGAGAAGGGTGTTAATTTGAATTGGGGAAATAGAGTTGAATCACGAAGAATCACAATCAACAATCAGAAATGAAATATCTGGTTATGAAAGGAAAATGGTTAAATCTGTAAAAATGGTCTCATGTCCAACTTTGAAGAATATTATGTGTTTGTGAAAAAAAGAGGAGAATTGAGCTTGAGATGAGAATTCATTGTGATCATGAACGGAACTTGTTTCCAAATGGAACGAAACTCAGACTTGGGAGTGATGTTTTTGACTGTGTTCAGCAGAGAAGACTTGCACTCCTATATGTGCTGGGTGGTGGTGATTCTTTCTTTTTCTTATTTCTGTGTAATCAGAAAAAACTGAGTCAAAATATCACCCTGCACCTCTAAGATGAACAGTTATTGTGCATTAATCTAAAATTTGAAAAATGTTTATGGGGATGGAAAGATTAAATATCATGATTTGACTATTATGCACTATTTACATCCATCATGTTGTACCTTATATAATTTTGTATAATTAAAGTAATTCTTAAAGGTAATACAGGGTACTGGAGAGATGGCTCAGCAGTTAAAATAGGTGACTGCTCTTGCAGATGACCCAGGTTCAGTTCCCAGCAACAACAGGCTGTAACTCCAGTTCTGGGGGATCTGATGCTCTCTTCTGACCTCCATTGGCTTTGTGTGACAGGGGTGCACTTACATGTATGCAGGTAAAACACTCATACACATAAAAATAAAATTTGAAAGATAATACAGAAGTTCTATAACAGAAAAAGATACTACATATGTGAACCATAGGACATGGAGAAATCAAGCTGGGACTGACCTCGAAGGTTCATCTCAACTGCCTTGTTTTCTTAGTACTGTCCATACTAGTGCTATGCATGCTAGTGGAGGAGAAAAGCAATCATCAGCCTTACTCAGCTGTGACCCCTGACAACTAAAATAACAACTGGCCGGGCAAAATATGCCCACTGGAGAAACAGTAGTATGAATGTTATGGAAGTAACCAACCACTTACTGATTGGGTTTAGGGCCCACTTCACAAGATGGAGCCCATACCTGGCATTTTTATCAGAGCAAGGACCTATGACTAGATAGGTTACAGGCCATAGGGGAAAGCCTACTACTATCCTTCTACTAAATGGAGATAGTATTAAATTAACTTCTGATGACAGAGATGCCAGTAGATTAGTGCTTTTCTCAACTCTCACTGGAGAAGCTCTTTCTTGTAGCTGATGGTGATTAACACAGAGTCCCTCAACAGGCCAAGGTTACTAGATTAAGAGACTGTGGATTTCCCGGGCTTGAATGGCACATCTATATCACAATCTTCCCTCAAAGGCTCAGGGATCATCATAGAATAGGGGATGGGAAGATTTTAAGAATCAGAGGTAGTGGATGAATACAAGAAAACTGATCTCCAGACACAGTCGCACATATGAACCCACAGTAGTTGTGACAACTTGCACATGAACTATGTAAGCCCAAACCAGACAAAATCCCATCATGGATGGGGGAGGTGGTCAAGAAGCCCTAGCCCTAGTTGAGGAGCTATTGGCAATTGATAGCTGCTCGGAAAGGGAGTCGGTTTTCTTTAAAGATGTGTTACTCGGTAGGTTGACCGCACTCCAGGGGATGGATCCGCACTCAAAAGCATTTGAGGAACACAAACTGGACCCAATGGGCCTTAATAAAACAAACTGAGTACATGAAATCAGGGGGAGTAGGGAGGTGGAGTGGGATCTGAGAGGTAATGGGAGTGGGGATCTATGTTCTAAATACATTGTATGAATTTCTCAAAGAATCAATTAAATATTACTAACAAAGAAGCTCTCAATTCAGGATGAATGTTCTTTCTTTTTTCCCCCTTAGGATTTCATCATCAGGAACCTGGACACTCGTGCTGCTTATTATGTGGGGCTGTCAGATCCTAAGGGTCAGGGACAATGGCAGTGGGTTGATCAGACACCATACAACCAAAGTGCCACGTAAGTATAGACTTAGATGGAGGACTTTTAGGTCCTGAAGCATAAAAAGAATTTAGGTGTTCCATCTGTCATGTATGAAACTAAAACAGGTCACTCTTGGCTTACCTGCTGAGCGTAGAGTTGCTTTTATTCCCCTATTTATTCATCACAAGAATCTTAGACACACATTACTGTTTCTCTCTATAGAGATGAGGGAGTTTGAAGAGTGTAGAATGATAATACGACAAAGTACCCAACCACGGTCCTTACATCCAGGTGGATTCTATTGTGCTTTCAATCTCTCATTTATATCTTTACAATAAAATTCACATCAGGGTCATAACTGACTATTAACATTTTTTATTTCTCACAAAGCAAAATCCCTCAATTCTTAGTGTTTTATTTCATATTTATGCAATTATTTAATTATTTTATTTTTATTTTATGTGTATGAGTGTATTGACTGCAAGTATATAGGAGCACCCATGTCGTGCAGTGCCTGCAGAAGTCAGAAGAGGGCATCAGGTCCCCTGGAACTGGAGTTTCGGATTATTGTTAGCCGCCATGTGGGTGCTGGGAATTGAACCTGGGTCCTATGTAAGAGCAGCCACTGCTCTTAACCCCTGAGCCCCATATTTATGTAATTATTTAAAAGCTCTTACTATTTTAGCATATTTCCATCTTCTATCCTGATATGTGTTGTGAGAAATATATCGTGATGATATTGTAGTTCTCAAGTTTTAGAGATCTAGGAAATGTCAGTGATGTGGTTGGAGGGTAAACTACATGAGAAATGGAGAAGGGCTGATTTGGGTATATTTGACCCTAATATTCACAAATTTTAACCTCCCTGCAGGCTTGCTTATTTTCTGTCTTTTCAAGAATACTATTGAAGGAAATAGCTTCATCTTTTTTTTTTCTCTTTCAGGTTCTGGCATTCAGGTGAACCCAATGGTGTTAATGAGCATTGTGTTGTGATAAATAATCCATACGGTAGCAGATGGGGCTGGAATGATGTCCTTTGTAATCAGCATCAAAGGTCAATTTGTCAGATGAAGAAGACATATTTATGAATGAAATATTTTTCATGGACATGTGATTGAATTGCCATCCATCACTGAGGCAACATCTAGAAAATTCTTCATGTAGAGGAGACATTCTTAGAATTTTAGGTAGGCAGTCAACGGTTCTACATATGAGAACATTGGTCCACATGTATATTTTTTAAAAATTCATTCATTTACTTTTTCATACAATGATCTTTCATTGAGAATTCTCCATGTACCAAAGACTATGTACAAGGTCCCTTTTATACATACATAGAAGGCATATGCACTTCGCTGTCAATTCTGTAATTTCCAAAGTTTTATTCATTGATAAGATTGTATGATGTGTGTACCTATTTGTTTTTTCTCCCCCTTTGGCTTTATTGATGGATAACTGAAAAATAAAATAATTTATATTTAAGTTACAGTATCTGACTTGATATGAATATGCACTATGAAATGACTATCAGAATTAGGTTAATAACACCCTCCATTACCCAATATAGTTGTCATTTTTATGTGTAGTAAGAATGTTTAAGATCTTCTTAAGCAAATTTCAGACACACAGGATAACTACCATCATTTTCTTGTGCCTTTGCACCTCAGTACTTTATACTTTAGCTGAAAGTTTGTCCCCTTTCACCAGCATCTTCCTGTGTCTCACTATACCCAGCCCTTTACAACACTGATTCTTTTCTTAGATTCTTGCGATTTACATTTAAAGGCATGATTTATAAATTAGATCACATAACACTTATCATTCTTTGAGTAATTTTCCTTAGACTAATATTCTCAACATTCAACCACATTACTGCAACTCAGAGGATGCTCATTTTTATGATGGACTAATATTCTAGTTTATTAATAATACATATATAGGTAGTAGATATGTTAAAATCCATTCATTGACAGACAGGTTGTTTCCAAATCCTCCCCTTTGTGATTAATAATGCAAAGAACATGAGCATAGATGTCTCTAGATGATGATTTTTAAAAGTTTCAATGTGTTTCCCAAAGTGAGATTGCTACATCATGAGGTAATTCTATAGCCAGTTTCTTGAGGAGTTTTCCCATTGTCTTATGTGATGGTTATGCCAGTTAAATATATATATTTTTAGGGCTGGAGAGATGGCTCAGCAGTTAAAAGCACTGACTGCTTTTATAGAGGATGCAGGTTCAATTCCCAGCACCTACAGAGCAGCTAACAACTGTCTGTAACTCCAGTTCTAGGGGATCTGAAACTTTCTTCTGACCTTCGTGGGCACTGTATGACATGGGTGCACTTATACACATGCAGGCAATACACTCATACACATAAAATAAAAATAATAAAATGTTTTAACAATATATCTAAATATTTTTATTGATTATTTGAGAATTTCATACAATATATTTTGATCATATTCAAACCCTCTCCCCCCATTGCTACCCCACCTTACTACCCCTGTGACTTCATTTTATCTGTTCTTCTTTTTTGAAAAAGACCTATTGAGTCTAATTTGTATTTAGCAAAAGCTTTTGGGTGTGGATCCATCCCTTGCAGTCTGGTTAGCCTACAAGATTAAAGAAAACTGACTTCCTCCCAGCAGCTATAAATTGCTAATAGCTCCTCAGCTAGGACTGGGGATTCCTGACCACCTCCCCATCCATAATGGCATTCTGTCTGGTCTGGGTTTGCACAGGTCTTGTGCATGCTGTCACAACCATTGCAGGTTCATATGTGCAACTGCCCCATTGTATCCAGAAAGCAGCAACCTTGTATTCATCCACCACCATTGGCTCTTACAATCTTTCTACCTCCTCTTCTGCAATGATTTCTGAGCCTTGAGCGGAGAGGATGTGATATGGGTGCCCCATTTAAGGCAGAGCACTCTGCAGTCTCTTATTCTTTATGCACTGACCACATATGGGTCTCTGTGTTTATCAGCAAATGCTGAAAGAAAAAGCATCTCTGGTGAGAGCTGAGAAATGCACTGATTTATGGATATAACAATGTCATTAAAAGTCAGTTTAATACTATGTTTATTTAGCAGAATAATAGTGGTAGGTTCTTCCCTATGGCCTGTGACCTGTCGAGTCACAGGTTCTTGACCCTAATAACACTGAAATGTATGAGCTTCATCTTGTGAAGTGGGCCTTAAATCCAACCAGAAGATGATTGGTCACTCCCATAGCATTCACGCCACTGTTGAAACAATGAGCATGTCTTGCCAGACCATTTGTTATTGTAGCTTGCAGCGTTCAGTGCTGGGTAAGGTTGATGAGTACCTTTCTCCTCCAGTAGCATGAATGGTACCTTCTAGTCCTATGAAAGCTAACCAGTACAGAAGAAGCGTTGAGGTCAGTGCCAGCTTGATTTCTCTTTGCTTGTTCTATAGCTCGTGTATGTAGTATTTTCAGTAATAGGGCATTAATGTCAAGTTATAGTGGGTAATAAAGAGCAATGGCAATGACCAGTATAGTTTGAGGGCCTATGGGACCACCTGTGGTCAACAGCTCCCCCAAAGGGAGTCCATTCCCAGCACTGGGCTTTTTATTTCCTAGCCTATGGAATCTTGTAGGGCCACTGAATTCTCATTATAGGATATCTACATTTAAACTCTTGTTATGTTGTTTATGTATTTATTTTAAGAAGATTCTATACTATTATGTTTTCCTATGAGTTTTGGGAAAGGCCTTTAGTGTTAGTTATCCCCACCTGCCCTGCCCTCCCATTCCCCACCCCATTTAATGGTTCCTCTCTCATTATCCCCTGTCCCTCTTTGTGTCATGGGTTCCTTTCCCCCTTTCATTTACCTTCACACATGGCCCCTTATTAGTTTTCTGATCGCTACGGATTTTCCTGTTGAAACACAAGTATCTAGAGATTCAAAGCTAGCATCCATGTATGAGAAAGAACATGCAATATTTGTCTTTCTGGGTCTAGGTTACCTCACCTAGGAAGATTGTTTCCAGTCTATTCATTTACCTATGAATTTCATAATCTTGTTTTTCTTACTTTTTTTGTCTTTTTGAAACAGGGTCTTCTGTAGCTTCAGCTGGTCTGGAACTCACTGTGTAGACCAGGCTGGCCTTGAACTCACAGAGATCCACCTGCTTCTGCCTTTGAGTGCTGGGACCAAAGGCATGTGCCACTTCATCCAGCAATCTTGTTTTTCTTACTTTTTTTGTCTTTTTGAAACAGGGTCTTCTGTAGCTTCAGCTGGTCTGGAACTCACTGTGTAGACCAGGCTGGCCTTGAACTCACAGAGATCCACCTGCCTCTGCCTTTGAGTGCTGGGACCAAAGGCATGTGCCACTTCATCCAGCAATCTTGTTTTTCTTAACAGCTGAATAATATTAAACTGCATAAATGTACTATAATTTCCTTATCCGTTCATCAGTTGAGGGACATCTAGCTTGTTTCCTTTACTAGACATTGTAAATAGAGTAGTAATGAACATAGAGGAACAGATATCTCTGTCGTAGGACATAGAGTCTTTCGGGTGTATATCCAAGCATGGTATGGCTGTATCATATGGTTTCAACACACACACAAAATCAGCAGTCTTCCTACATACCAACAACAAACATATTAAGAAACCATGGAAATGATTCCATTCACCATAGCCTCAAAACACATAAAGCATCTTGGAATAAAACTAACTAAGGAAGTGAAAGATTTGTACAATAAAAACTTTAAGACATTAAGAAAAAAAATTGAAGAATATATCAGAAGATAGAAAGGTCGCCCATGCTCATAAATTGGTAGGGTTAAATTGTGAAAATAACTAGATCTACCAAAAGCAATCTACAGATTCAATGCAATCCCCATTAAAATTAAAACACAATTCTTCACAGAAATTGAGAAAATTAATTTCAAGTTTCACATGGAAACAGAAAAAAAAACCAGGATAACCAAGACAATCCTGAACAATAAAAGAACTTATACTAAAGAGCTATAGTAATAAAAACAGCATGATACCAGATAAAAACAGACACAATGATCAATGAAATAGACTTGAAGACACAAATTTAAGTCCTTGCACTTACAGTCACCTGAGTTTTGGCAAAGGGATCAAAAACACATGTTGGAGAAAAGATGACATTTTCAACAAATGGAGCTGGTCAAACTGGATAGCCACGCATAGAAGAATAATACTAGATTCCTACCTTTCCATGCACAAAACTCAACTCCATATGGATCAAGGACCTCGACCTAAGACCTGATACCCTGAATCTGACAGAGGAGAAAATAGGGAATACACTGAAAGTCATAGGTATGGGAAAGGACTTTTGAACAGAACACTTATAGGGCAGGGATTTGAAAAATGGGACCTCATGAAGCTGAAAAGTTTCTGTTCAGCAAAGGACACCATCATTTGGGTGAAGACACAGGCCTACAGAATGGGAAAAACATCTTTAGCAGCTGTACATCTGACAAGGCGTTAGTGTCTAGAATATACAAAGAACACAAAAAAGTAAGCATGAAAAACCAATTAAAATTGTGGGAAGGAACTAAACACTATTCTCAAAAGATGAAATGTAAATGACAGAAACATTATTTATAAGTTTAATGTCTTTCACCTTCAGGGAAATGAGAATTAAAATTGCTTTGAGATTTAATCTTAACTCAATCGGAATGACTCAGATCCCTAAAACAAATGATGACAAATGCTGGTGAGGATGTAGGGAAAGAGGGACACTTAAGTGTTGGTGGGAGTGCTAACTGTCTAGCCACTATTGAAATCGCTGTGAATCTTCTTCCAAAAACTAAAAGTAGATCATATATTAAAAATAACATTTTAATTAATTCTTTGAGAATTTCATATAGTATGTTTCACCCATACTCACACACAAACACACACCCATCTCCTCTCAAATCCATCTTTACCTTCTTACCACTCCCCTGACTTGATGATGATGATGATGATGATGATGATGATTATCTTGGTTCTTTTTGAGACAGGGTTTCCCTGTAGCCCCAACTGGCCTGGAACTCACTATATAGGCCAGACTGGCCTTGAACTCACCAAGATCCACCTGCTTCTGCCTCCCGAGTGCTGGGATTAAAGGTGTGAACCACCATGTCCAACTTCTATATTAATTTTTAAAGCCCTATTAAGTCTAATTTATGTTTCCCAAATGCTCCTGGATGTGAGTCCATCCCTTGGAATGTGGCCACCCCATCTGGCATCATCACCTTAAAGAAAACTGACTCTCCCTCTCCCGGCAACTATTAATTACCAGTAGTTCTTCAGCTAGGGCTGGGGTTTCTTGCCCACCTTCCCGCTCCATGCTGAGATTTTGTCTGGCTTGGGCTTGCACAGATATTGTGCATGTTGTTACAAAAGTTGTGGATTCATATGTGTAACTGCCCTATTGTGTCTGTAAAATGGT